CAGGATCCAGCCCGGAACTCGCCTCCCACTCTGGGCTTCAGCCCGAAACCTGCCTCCAGGACTCGCTGTCCGCACTGGAATGGTCTCCGACGCGTTGGACTCTGAGTCACCTCCATTATCCATTTCCTACGGGTGAGTTTAAGACATTAAAGATTGGGAGGATGGTGAAGAAACTGCAGAAAAGACAAGGAAGAAAAGAAAGAGAAACGAAAAGGGACTGACAAAGCAGAGGATCTCCAGCTGAAGCATCCTACTCTGCTGCCATCTTAGACCAAAATATCCTTGGCCAGCAGAGTTAAGAAGAATCCCAAGGCATTTTAGGGAGGCAAAAAGGTAGCTAGGGAAAGAATAGGCCCAACTGAAGAATAAAGAAGGGAGGTTATATGTGGAGCCAGAAGAAATGGTGAAGATCCCTAATGAGTACTTTACATCAGTATTCACCAAAGACAGGGATGTTGAGGTGAGGGAAAGGTGTGTGAACGCTCTCGGGCAGGTTAACATAATGAAGGATGAAGTGTTGGGTATCCTGAAATTGATCAAGGTAGACAAGTTCCCAGGCCAGGATACCATAGGAGGTAAGGGAGGAAATAGATGGGATCCCTACAGATATCTCTGCATCCTCTTCAGCCTCAGGCGAGGTCCCAGAGGACTGGGGAATGGCCAATGTTGTTCCTTTGTTTAAGAAGGGAAAAAGAGGTGATCCAGATAATTATACACCGGGGAGCCTGATATCAGTGGTGAGGAAGCTGCTGGAGAAGATCCTGAGAGACGGGATTTATTCACATTTGGAAGTAAATGGACTGGTTAGAGATAGGCAGCATGTGTTTGTGCAGGGAAATTCATGTCTCACCAACTTGATTGAGTTTTTGGAGGAGGTGACAAGAATGATTGCTGAGGGAAATGCAATGCATATATGGACTTTAGAATGGCATTTGATAAGGTATCTCATGGCCAGCTTGTCTCATGGGATCTGGGGTGTGCTGGGTACAAAACTGGCTTGGTCATAAAAGACAGAGAGTGGCAGTGGAAGGGTGCTATTCAGAATGGAGATCAGTAACTAGTGGTGTTCCTCAGGGATTAGTGCTTGGACCTTTCTCTTTGTAGTATATATACATTTCAATGATCTGGAGGAAAACGTGGGTGGCTTGATCAGTAAGTTTGCAGGTGACACCAAAATTGGTGGAGTCACTGTTGGTGAGGAGGATATATTCAAGGATATAGATAGATGGCATATTTGGGGGGAAAAATGCAGATGAAGTTTAATCCAGACAAATGTGAGGTGGTGCAATTTGGAAGATCAAATTCAGGTGTGAATTATACAATAAATGGCAGAACACTTACAAGCACTGACAGAGGGATTTGGGTGTACAGATCCACAGATCCCTGGAAGTAGCAACACAGGTGGATAAGGTGGTCAAGAAGGCATACAGCACCTTTGTCTTCATCGGCCAGGGTATCAAATTTAAAGTTGGCAAGTTATGTTATAGTTGTATGAAACTTTAGTTGGGCCACATTTGGAATACTGCAAGCAGTTCTGGTCACCACACTACCAAAAGAACGTGATTGCTTTGGAGATAGTGCACATAAGGTTTAGAACAAAGAACACTACAGCACAGGAGCAGGCCCTTCAGCCCTCCAAGCCTGCGCCAACACATTTTGCCCTTCCATATTAAAACTGTCTTCACTTACAGGATCCATTCCCTCTACTCCCTTCCTATTCATGCGTACGTCCAAGTGCTTCTTGAATGCTGCTATCGTGTCTGCTCCTACCACCTCCTCCAACAACGTGTTCCAGGCACTCACCACCCTTTGTGTGAAAAACTTGCCGCACACATCTCTTTAAACATCGCCCCCACATCTTGAATCTGTGTCCCCTAGTAACTGACCCTTCTACCCTGGGAAGAAACCTCATACTTTCCACTCTATCCATGCCATTCACAGTCTCATAAACCTCTATCAGGTCACCCCTCAACCTCCTGCATTCCAGTGAAAACAAACACAGTCTATCCAACCTTTCTTCAAAGTTAAAAGGATAGTTTACCAGGATGTTGCCTGGTCTGGAGGGTTTTAGTTATAAGGAGAGGTTGGATAAACTCAGATTGTTTTCACTGGATAGACAGGAGCGATCTGATAGAGGTCTACAAAATCATGAGAAGCATAGATAGGGTGGATAATTGAGGCTTTTTCCCAGGGTGGAAAAGTCAACTACAAAAAGGCACAGGTTCAAGGTGAGAGGGTGAAGTTTACAGGAGAATTGTGGGGAAAATCATTTACACATAGGGGTGTCTAGAACGCACTGCCAGTGAAAGGGGGTGGAAGCAGGCACGTTAGCAATGTTTAAGACGTATCTTGATAGACACATGAAGGCGAGGTGAACAGAGGGATAGAAACCACATATGGGCAATTAGTCGTGGGTCTAAATAAGGAACAGGAATCGGCACAGGATTGGTGGGCCAAAGGCCCTGTTTCTGTGCTGTACTGTAAGATTCACAAGCTTCTCATTGAAGAAATTTCTCAGTTTCGCCCTAAATGACCAACCACTTAACCTGAGACTGGGCCCTCATTTTCTAGATTGACGAGCAAGGGTAAATACCACCTCAGTCTCTATCTGTCAAGCCAATTTACAGTTTTGCATGTTTCAATGGGATACCGTCTCATTTTTCTAAACTCCAGAGAATATAGGCTCAATTTACTCAGCCTCTTATTTCAGGAACCAATCTAGTTAACTTTGCTATGCCTCGTAAAAAGCAAGAATATTCTTTTTAAATATGGAAACCAAAACCTCACACCGTACTCCAGCTGTCATTTCACCAAAGCGCAATGCAACTCCAGCAAGACTTCCTCATTCTTATACCACACTCCAATTCCCTTGGTCCAATAGTTTGTTTTTAAAGTTGCTGATGTAATCTACTCTCTAAATACAGGCCAAAGGAAAGAAAATTGTGTCACAACAAACTTTAGCTGCTAGTCAGTAATGGTAATTAGGTAGTCTGCTCCAGCCATAATGTTCAACACCCCATATATGGGCAATCTTGATTAAATTTGGAGCTTGTAGTGATTGTAACAAGGTCAGCCAGGTGGACATCATAGAATATGAGTTCCCTGATTGGGGCTGTTACCCTGGTCCAATCAGGGAGCCCTGGCTGACAGATATAAATAGGAGTGTCAGCGGCTCTGTTCACTCTGACAGCTGGATCAGAGGAAGCCAGACCAGTGTCAAGTACTATGCATATGTAAGTAAAGGTGGCATGATGATGGGATACTGCTCTCTGTGGAATTATTTCAGAGCTGAAAGATAGTTCTTCATCCATTTAATTTCTTGGGCTCACTATAATTTTGGCCAGCCTGGCCATTAAATTATTAAGTCTGGCAATCAGCACATTCATTACCAGACACACAGTTTAACTCTGGTGTTTTCAGCCCTTTGCCAAATATGACAGTGACTAAATATCTGCGCAGCTTCAGCACCTAACATACATTGTGGCACTTAGTTACAAAAAAAAAAGTAATTTAGTTTTTGTTCAATTTAAAAATCTATTTAAGAAAAAGTAAATTTATAGCATGACTGAAACATAATTATGTATTTGTATTACATCAGCTAAAGATCCTGAAGCAATTTAAGTTTTTGACCAAATTTTGGAGATGCTTCAAAACTCTATGCTATTAACTTGTCATTTCTTATTTGAGGGATATGAAGTTTAGTCAGTAACGTTAAAAAGCATTGAATCACACAAGGTGTCAACTGTTGTTCAGTTGGTAGTGCTCTTGGCTGAGTCACAAGGTTCTAGGTTCAAGTCCCATTCTAGGGTTTGAACTCAAAACTCCAAGCTGACAGTACACTGCAATATTGAGGGGTGCTGCTCTGCCCATGAATGTTAAACTGGAAGGTCTGCTGGCTCAGATGGATGAAGAAGATCCCAGGCACTATTCTGAGCTGCAGCAAAGGCAGTGACCCCAGTGTCCTAACAAACATACACCCCTCAATCAACATCAAAGCAGAATATCTGGTCATTTCACATTGTTGTTTGGAGGAGTTTGCTGTTTCCCTTCACATTCGCACATAAAATGCTGTGAGACATCCTATGGTTGTGTGAAATGTGATCAATTCAAACACCTTTTGTTTTCTTCTCTGAAAAGGTTTAGAAGCTCCTTGGCTGTTGTCTGTCACTTGCAATCACCCCAACACCACAACCAGCCCTCCTTCAGGCTGGAGAGAAAAATTCCTGATTTGAAGTTTTCTGACTTTTGCGAGAGGGTATATATTCTCGGCCAGGTGGAAGAGTGTGGTGGTGGATGGGGACAATTCCAAAAAAATGACCCTGAGCTTCCGGTTGCCACTTCAGCACAGCACAGTGTTACCTGGCCAACATTTCTGTCCCAGGCTTGCTACAGTGCTCCAATGAAGCTCTGCGCAAGCTGGAGTTCATTTTCCAGGCTTGGGAACCCTGCAACCTTTTGGACTCAATGTCGAGTTCAATAATTTTAGGGATTGAGCGCCTTCTCCCATGCTTTTACCCCCAACCCCCACACACCAGGCCTTGTCATCACATTGTCAGCCACTAATTGTCCCCATTAGCATCTATTGATTCTCTCAGGCTGACCTTTACCCATTCCTTTGTCTACCCAACTTTTTTTCTCTGGCCTCTTTCTCCACCTATTATATACTCCTCTCCCCACCTCATCTCTGGCATATATACTTACCCTTTCCTAGGTCCAATTAGTTCTGCAGAAGGGTCAAAGGGTCCGAAACATTAAGTGTGCTTTCTCTCTCCACAGATGTTGCCAGACCTGCTGACTTTTCCCCATCAATTCCTGATGTTGTTTTAGAACTCTACGATTGTTAGGGTTGGAATTTGGAACTGAAGGGGCAGTGACACCCCTGAGGGTTGTGGGTTTGCATTGAGACTTGACCTGTGTCCCAGCTGATGAATGAGGAATTGTGACTGATCATGCTAAGCCACTGCTGCTTACACCCCTCCCTCCCCACCCCCGGGCCATACCTGGACGGTATAAACCCAGCCGACGTCCATATGGCTGTGGGCGATGACAAATGCCTGGATGCTGCCCGCTTTCCCGGAGCTCGCCCCCAGAACGCGGAGACATAGCAACATTCCCAAAGTCGCTACAGTAACAACTGGAGGGAGGCCCCGCATTGTCTCCGCGTTCCTTCCGCCTTCCTCACCCAAGCACTTGCAACTACTGAGTACGGAAACTGGGCAAGCCCAAATGCACTGGGCAACTTCTCATTCCCAACTATTATTTACGGCCCCAGCAGCCCTTTTAAAAAAAAACCCTTTGCAAAGGGACTGCTCCGGGGCGAGATGGCCCCACAATGGCTTTAGACGGTGAATCCAATTTAGTGCGTCCCCATCAAAATATCTGCTGTATCCGCTTGCAGAAGTACCTAACTCGAAACGGGTCCCCTCCTGCTGCTAATTCTACGTATCGCGTACGATACGT